CGTTTCTTTATGAAACACAAGGCCGTTTTAATACTGTTCTTTGTTTCAAGCTTAAACGATTAAACAAATTTGTTGGCAATTATGCAAATTTACCACTGTAAGGCGCGAGAGTTAAAACGTCATTCATCGCCCGTAAAATGAAAAGGGAGAACATATCTTTGGTATCTCGTTTAATCGTGCAATCAATGCCGAGCAAAATAGGCCGCGATTTTTTACGTCCTAAAATTGGTCGCAGGTTGCAAGCAGGTAGCAGATTGCCACGCGAGTGACTAATTGGCGCGCAGACTGCAATCTACAGCCTGGTAAGCTTGTGACAAATAGAGGTAGAGGAACGCGCATCGTTTGTGACATAACGAACCGCTTAAAACGTTTCCTGTCTACATAAGACTTATCGTATCAATTATTCACCGGCGTAATAAATACGGTGCACACTTTGAAATATCAGCGATGTTTATGGATGCAGACATTATTACATTTGCGGTGTCATTAGTCATCATATATTTGTAACACCGAGCGTCTCTACTTTGTACACGAATCATCTCTCAAGTCGAGGTGGAAGAAGGTCGGAGAATTTAATGCGAGAAAACGTGGGACAGATAGGGAGGCACATTTCGTTTGTCAATTTGAGCTATAAGAAAAATAGCTCTTCTATTTAAAAAATTGCATTGATTAGCTGACACGGTCAATAATGTTACTAATAGCACAAGGTATTCTTGCTCGTTAACAATATTGACCTTTGGACCAAATCGAATCTTTTTCCCGATGCGGATCTTCCAAAAATACACCAGCGAGCGAGGCGCAATCAGTCGGATTAGCACATGTACGGCAGCAAAACTCCGACATGGTCGATAAAGCGGTACGAGTCACGTTGCTTTTTATACGTATAGAAAGGCATTGCTCCGCTCGCGATATCGCCGTGATTCGAATTCCGTAAGATTACAGCATTAACCAATGGCGATTAATCGTCGACCGTCGTCGCAGTAGGTAGACGCTTTCCGTGAGGAATTCGGGGCGTTTGATCTCTTTTAAAAGCATGCGCCGCGGCCAGGTCTAATAAAGACTTGGTGCACGCGGACTCATTCGTTTCGGAACCGGCTAAAAATAAAAGGACGCCAGATAGACGTACACCGAGATATTTCAATCCGTGACCGTGTCATCGGTTACTCAGCATGGAGGAGTTGGAGGATGTGGGCAGCTCCCGCGAACGATTCGTCATTCGAGCAGATCGTAGTGACGAATATTAATCTACTTTGTATTCGTGAGCTTCGTTCTGAATGAGAAGAAATGTTCTTTCGGCGCTTCGTGCTGAATAATCAACACTTGCGCTCTTCGCGACGCTCCGGGCTTTAACCCGGTTAGTTTATCAGAGATCGACACGCGACCATTGTCTCTCTCTCTCTTTCTCTCACTTCGTAGTCGTCGTTGAAGGCTGAATGGATATCGGAGCAGATCGTGATAAGGCCGGTTACACATATCTATGGATCCGTATTTACTACACCGCAACCGAGAATTTCGTCGGGTAGCAGGCGGGTTGTCGTCCCTCGAGAAGGTAGACGAATGAAGTAAAAGGCACCTTCTTAACCTCTCTCAGGGAGATTTCTGTCCCGACCAGCGAACAAAGATCCCATTCCGTTGTTCTATGATTTACACGAGCGTCAACTTCAGTTCAGGTATACTGGACCGAGCTTTTGGAGTTTTTCCATGCCACCGGCACTGATACTTGTCACCTTTAATAATTAAATGATCCCAATTCACCTTCGTCCACGCACCAATAGGATAGTCACTGGTTTCTTTTTTGTAGCGCGCGTGTGTGTGTATGTGTGAGGTGAGTTTCTTTAGAACGACTTTAGAGTGAGTCAAGAAAGATTCAACGTGTAGAGGTAGGTAGCCCAACGCAGACGGTGTAGATGAATTTAGATAGGTAAAAACCACCCACATAGCACGTAATATTACATTTCCAATGTAATATTACAATAAAATATATCGGAAATATTACTGATGTATCACTGTAATATTAAACTGTCCGCCCAATGAAATATTACCGAGATAATCGTAGTAATATTGCAAGGAATGAGATTAGAGTAAACCCGGGTATGACGGAAGAGATAGTCACAGGCTGTAGAATCTCTCGAATAATTGTTTAATAGTGCGTTTCTGTAGTCATTCTCAAAGATGATTATATCGTCATATTACAAATTACCCTTATAATATTGTATTCATACTTCAATGCGAAATACATTGGAAAGTGCCAAACAGCAACGTGACATAAATGACGTAATAAAACGTAATGAGACGTAATTAAAAAGTCATGTGACTTCATCTTGCGCTACTTTGGATCTGATATATTGCAGCAACATTACTGTTATATTACTGTGTAATATTTCTATGTAATGTATCTGTAATATTAATATTAATTAAACGGTCCGTTATCGACTATGTTTGTTGATTTCTTGGTAGGATAAAAATATTCAAAAGATCCATAAAAAGTGTTGGAGACCTCATTATGCGAGGGCATAAGTCGCTCGCTATGTTATACGTGCGAGACAGGATTTTACAATGGGTGCTTGCACCGAAGGGCCGTTGCCCGCGAGATACGATCCTAAAAGGCGCCGACGTTCTCCCACGCGATGCCTCCTCGACGTTCGATGAATTAGGCAATTTGGAATAGGATTTGGCGACACGTAGTCGGAACTTTAGGAAATAGCCGAAAAGGGACGGCGGACTCAATCTCGTAAAATATAAAATGGCGAGACCCTAATGTTCAGACGAGGGAAGCTAATTAAGGCAGCCTGATAGCAAGTTAGGAATTAACTTTTCGAAAACTTGTTCTCCGCCGACAAATCTGTCGCTTCGATCTATGCGCTTCTTTAAAATATTTTAATCTAACAAGTATACTCAACGCGTAAAGTATTTCGTGAGATTTTCTTATCGCATCACGCCATCTATTACGTGACGAATGTCTGAAATTTGAAAAGTCAACTACTCCTCAATGCGATTGAATCGTGGAGTATATTTTTCGCTGACTTGGAGGTGACAACATTAAATATCTTAACAAACAAGTTTCCGATTACAATCCTGTTCAAGCCGAGGACAACGCGAAATTGAATGTATTGTACGACAACGTTTTGCCGCCCGCACTTCAGAAGTTAACTCGCCAACACCCTAGTTATCGCGACACTATTAAGTGTTACGTGTTGCACAAAATGTTCTACAATGCAGACACTATCGCCGACTATCTTACATGCCGTCGGGCATATTATCTCGGATATTGAAACCGTGTTGAACACGCATTTTAATAGCGCAGCATAAGCAAAAGCGCCGTGGAACGTACTCGCTCGGCGAAGGCTGACTCCTCGCCGTTATCGAGACAAAGCCGAGCGACGCAGTGTGACAACGCGGAGAGACGATCGCGCGTGACCATACGGTTGGAATAATCGGCGCGCGGCTCGATTGATAATTAATTTATCTCGCCGCGCCGGATCACCGGGCATTCGCGACGCCGCCGCTCCGTCATTAGTGATCCGTTCTCTCTCGCGGAGACGAGCCCGACGTCGCAAATCTCTCTCTCTCTCTCCTCTCTCGCGCCACTGGCATTTCGATCGTCCTCGCTCGCTCGCTCGCGGACAACGCGGGTCTCGCGAGAGAATCTTCGAGTTCCCCGCGAATGGTGCAACATTCGACATTCATTGAAATATGTTAAAATAATCGTGCCGTCGAATCACGCTCGGGAAAACAAACCTCGGGCTCTCGGCGTCGCCGCGGGGATTGCGCAACCGCCCCGCTCGTCACCGCCGCTCGGACGGCGCGGCGGAATATCGCCGGCCGATGCGACTTGCACCGTAATTTATACACCGCGCCGGCCGTCCGCGTCCGATGGCGAAACGAAAGTAATAAAAAGAGACGAATAAATCGCGCGCGCGCGAATGGCGCGGACGCGCCGACCCGCCTGCCGCGATCGCGGCGAGAAACCGCGATCTCCTCTCGCGTGCGGCTGCCGCGCTTTCGAGCCGCGGATCGTCCGGCTGTTGCAAAGTGACCTTTACGTTATTGTGCGCCGAGTGTGTTGCGTGATGGTTCAAAAATGCGCGTGTGCGCGAAACGCTCGGACAACAATCGCGCCAGGTGCGGAGAGAAGCCGACGCGCGGTTAGGAAGAACATTCTGCGAGAGATACGGCGAGGAGTATCTTTGAAAACTTTGCGGGGAGAGATAGAGAGGACGGCACGATGGTAGGGAGATTTGTGCCGATATCGCCAGCCGTGCCACCCACATTTCCGAGCGACCCGAAGACGCGCTCCCAAAGTTTTTATGTTATCGGGCATTGAGAAGATAATGGCTCAAGCCGCCAAGAGCGTGCACCTGATAACGCTTCGAAAGTGTGACGAGTTGCAGTTTTCTAGCGGCCGAGTCGACGACGACGAGCGGGAAGTCGATCGAGAAGGATTCGGCTGCGAATCGAAGAAACTGGCGACCTGTGGAAAATTTTTGGAAAACGCTCCAGAACGTTAGAGTCACGGGTGGAATTGAACAAGGTCCGAGCGCTCGCCCGAAGACGAGCGCGAGACAGGTGGCACGAAACCGCAACGCTGCTCCTAGGAGCAGCGCGAACAGCAGGGCAGGGCGCGCGCAAGGGTTGCCGCCACGTGTTTCGCCGTGAAATCGCCGCGACCTTTTCCGCCCCCCTCTCCGCGCTGGGCGCGTTTCCATATCGTTTCGCTATAAAAGAGAGCGCGGTGCGTGAGGCAGAAGGTAGGGTTGCGCGGCAAGCGGGGGCGTTCGTTTTGTGGAGAACACGCCGCGCGCGGAGGGATAGGAGGAGGGATAGGGAAGAGAGCACGCCGATGGAGGGGCAGTCTCGTGTACGATACGAGTGGAGGGGTGGCGAGAGAGGGGTGGGGGTACGTTCTAGTCGAGCGGTAGCGGCACTGCGGCCAGGTAAGCGACGAGCGAACACTAGTGGGGCTGACTTGCGCGCCTTCGAGCCGTCGGGATACACGGCAGCCGCAGCGGTACCGTCGTCGTACACTGTCGCGCTACGCGTGCCACACGCTCGTGTCGCCGCACCGTCGTCGCCGTTGACGAGCTGGAGCCCCAGCGAGGCCCGGTCGCCCTGGACCTCGCACCCCTCCGTCGTTGGCCACGCGGCCGGCCCGTATTCAGTCGCGCCGGCTCCCTCGCGTGGAAGAGAACGCGGAGGGTTGATCGCGTTCCCGCGCGCGTGTTTACCGGAGCGGCGTCGTTTCACCCCCGCCGAGTGTGCCGTCCGCCGGTGCCGCTGACTCCTCGTGATACGATCGAATTATTGGCGCGCCTCCAAGCTGCGACGTCGCTACCCGAGGATACGATTGCGCGTCGCGGTCGTTGGAGATTTCGCGCGAATCGAGTGAGCCGCGCATGACCGACCGGAAGTCACTTGGGGATATACTGTGTAGGCTCGTGTCTCGTGTCGCACGTTACCTGTAGGGCCACGCTCGCACGCTGGTCGATCGGTACCTACGCAGCACACGGCGAGAGTAGTGTACAAGTCGGTGGAAAAACGTGGCGACGACCGCCTAGTCTCGGAGTGCTCCAAGTTTCGGAGCGCGAGTTTCGGAGTTTCCGCTTCCCGCGCGTCTCGAGCCAAGTGGACGCGGTGCGAACGATTCGAGTGCTGTCGACCGGCCGTAGGGCCGAGCGGTGTGTTTCGCGCCACGCGAAGGGCGGCAAAGTGCTAAAGGAACAGCGGCGTCGTTAGATGCGAGGATTTTAAAAGCAGCTTACCCGGAGGCCAGCCCGACGCAATGCGTCGACGCTGCTGACGCAAACGCGCCTGGATGCGTCTCACTTTTAGCACGTGAGTGTCATTTTGATAAGCGTCATCGTCCGTTCTATCGACACCAACCCCGATCGTCACGAGGGAAGCCTCGTGCGTTTCGATCGAGGGCCGCGCGCGCGCGAATCGATCGTGTTAAGATGATTCCGAGGGGATTGGGTGGAAGGACGATCTCAGCATCCCCGCCGCGCTACACCGACACTTGAGCGTCGCTCTTCACCCTGCGCGTTGCGATTTTCCCGTGTGCCCGCTCATCGAATACGATTCTCGAAGAAAGAGAGAGAGAGAGAAAATTTCTTCGTCTATAGTGGTCTGCGTGTTGATGCTGCGTGCGGTGTTGTTGTCTATTGTTGTCTATTGTTGTTTGGTGGTACTAAGTGGTCGCGAGTGCGTACGCGACGACGACACGACGACGACGACGACGACGACGACGACGACGACGACGGTGGTGAATGATCCTGGCTCCGAGCTGACAAAGGTACTCGTACACGAATACTGGGATGACGTCCGCCTCGGATCACGCGGTTTCCTCACGATCTCGTCAATCCACGTCGTCTAACGCGGAAACAAATGTAAGTTTCCACACGCGTGGTCTCGCTGCGACCCATTGGAAAGTGGAAAAGACCGCGTGCACCATGGCGACGGGCGAAGCGATGAGGCGCGAGCGGAGAGCGGCTAGGTCGCTCGTGAAACGGAATTGAAATACATGCAATTCGATAATGTAAGAAACAACGTCGAATTTTACCCCAAAATAACTTGCGTTGTGTATGAATGGTGCGTCAGGCGTTCACTATAAAGGGTATTGAGCAAACTTTTTAATAAACTATGTCGAAGGATTTGTTTGACAAACGAGCTCTCCTCTGCTCTTCGCAGTTCGCGGCTTATCGTTCGTCAATATGTGACTTGAAACCGTCCATTTCTCGATCAAGTTGTTTGCTGATAATCGAAACACGCGGATTTGCTTGAGATCGTTCATCCATTGAACTCTTTGCGATAATAATAATAATGATATGCAGTGGAAGTCTGATTAACAATAAGATATATTTCATTCGATCGAGATATGTGTTGATTGTAAGATTCAACATGGAGGACACAGAAGGATCTCGAAGTCGTTCGTGAAGTGGTGTTTGTCCCCCAGAAAACCCAGTTTGAGACACGGTTCCTCGGAAACGACGCCAGGTAGTAAAACGACAAACGGGCTTCGACACGAAAAAGCGCGTCGGTTTTAAAATGCAGTTATAATCAAATACGGCGGGAGACAAGTCGTACCTCGCGAGTACGACGGCGCTTGTATAACGGTATCCATTATGAGCGCGACGCGCGCCTTGGGATAGTTTAAGGGCGAAGACGAGACTTCTCTCCTTCGGCTCCATTGGGCTCCATCTCCCCTGCATCGCGAGAGCGGTCTCTCGCGGTCGCGATTTTCGTCGTTAATTAATATTCTCGATACTTTTGAACGATGTCGCATTTTAATTTACGAAACGTTCGAAGACGAAAAGCTCGGCCTCCATATTGAAAAGTATCACTTTTAATTTGCTTGTAGTTCTGCTGGTACGTAACGGTCCCGAACAGCGGTACTCAACCACTGCGACGCGCGCAACCCTTCGCTACGTTGGCTCGGCACGGGAGATGAGCGTAACCGAAGGGTCCTTGATGTTTCGCACTCGATTAACAAAAAGCTATACCCTTTTTAAGCCGGTTTCGAGCTCTCGCCAGGTAAAGAAATTCACGCGTGTTTTCAGGTGCCTGCGACCTGCACGTTGAAGTCAGTATTTCATACTTCTCTTCGATTCCCTATCCTAATTCTTCATACTTGGCTCTAGTGACAATTGGATTTTATTACATGCACACGTTACGTTTTATTTACGTCAACGGTGCACCGTATGTTGCGTTGTGATTTTCGCGTAGCCGATCGTCCTCGCGGTGACTTGCAAGTGCTTATGTATTAAAGTGCGAATTAGTGCGTTAATTAGATAATATCCCATTTGAACAGTACTCGCGCTAGCCTCCGCTAATACCTCAACGATTTAATCCTCTTTTATCTTAAGTGCTGAGAAGTTTCGAGATGTCAATATAGGCATCTCGTGCGTGAACTCGTTCGAACGGACAGATTGAAAAATATCGACTGGACTTTCGAATCGTCAAGTGGGACACCTTATCGGGGATCTGCGCGAATAGGTTTCAATTTCGTTGGCGACCCACTGTCGCAATGGATCGTTCCGTTCTTCAGATCGAGTCCGCTCAATATACATAGCAAATCGACGGCTGTTCGCTTTTGATCGGATAAACACTCGATCATGGAATCCCGCCGTCCCGATGATTATCGACAAGGCGGCGAGCTGTCAGCAAGAAAATCAGACGACAAATCCGCGATAACAGGGCATATTTCAGATAAGGGGAACGCGCAATTAAAATACTTTTCAGATAAGCCCCGCGCGATCGGGCAACAGCACGGCACTTCCTCCTCTTTCTGACTTTTACCCTCTATTTTCCTCTTCCCCACCCCGAATCGCTGTACCTCGCGTTCGATCAATCGTTGAAAACCAATTAAAGCGACTCCCTATCAATGACAATTTGACGACTTTCAATCGTACGTCGCGAGCGTTCTTCTTTGTTTCGCGAGATCGCATGTCAGATCTTGCAGGAGCCCATTATCTACGTTCCGATTTATTCCGCTGTGGTTGCGATCCCTATAATCACTGGCACGCTTTCGTTCACCAACGGACGCGCACGCGTGCGGGGCGGCGTAACGCGTGTCATTCAGTTTGCGTTGTATGGGAGTCGGTCTAAATTGTAGGGAATTATCCCCCGCCTCTCGATATGAGTGACAGCATTCGTTGCGCCGCATAGTCGCAAGCCACAAGCTTGGACCTTTCACGATTCATTGGGTTTTATCGTATTTTCTAATAATAGTCGGGCGACTTTTGTCCGTGCGCACCTTGCTCTCGGACAGGCGGTTTTGAACGGATCGGTAGCCGATTGGCCGGGATTTTGTTGAACTTTTCGACTTTAATCTCTCATTTTCTCGCAACGACGACTCCAGTATTATTGTCGGTTGCTGCACCGTTAAAATTAGATGTTTGTGTCTCTTGTGGAAACAAAAAGATACAGCGATCACGTCTTGTCGCTCAAAGATTAGCATCTGCGTCCTATGAGAAATTCTTGCAAATTCTTTCTCGTGCACCGATCGATGTTCATCGAATGGAGCACGACGCTGGATAACGAAGCTCGATCCACGCCACGATGTGCAAACATTGTAAATCCCCGGCGACGCGTGTGCTAACATGAATAATAAGTGAACATAAGAAAGATTTTAGCGGTTATGGGACCAGCGGATGCACATAATGCACTTTGGTTCATGCTCAGGTCTCATTAAAGAAATACGCGGACATTTTAGACCTGGTCGCACCGTTTTTCCACGTAAAGCACTTTTAAAGTATACTTGCGAACTCGAGTATCACGCACAAAATTACGTCAACATAATAGACGTAAACATTACAAGCTTCTGGGTATTGTTTTGCAGAGGGAACGTAATTGAATATAACTTGGCAACAATTGTGTAAATTATTCTTAATTGTTTTATTAATACATTTTTCTGGCAAGATTGCTGCTCACAACAGAGATAAAAAGTATTTGGAGGGAACATTAACAGTAGGAAAATATTTAGGAATGTGCTTCTTAAAGTAATTTGAATTTAAATTTTAGCCGAGGGGAAAACCGCTGAGGGCATTGCGGTGTATAGATTTGCGGTATTACTAGGCATTTTTTGGGCATTAGTTTGGGCATTAGGTCTTGCTGCTAGGGCATTATAAAGATAAAATAAGTTTAAAAAAGATAAAATAAGATAAAATAAGATAATAAGATAAAGTAATGCCCACTGGGCACTGGTGGGCATTGGTGTACAAGATTTTGGTCAGCGGTTTCCCCCTCGATTTTAAATTATAGAGAGATACATTGGTGTAATTATTATATTAATGCGGTTCGAAGAGCAACTGGTGGAATATAAAATGGCGGAATATTATCGCGATCGTTATTGATGTCAATTGCAATGTATAACACACCTATCGAATAGTATCGATATACACTATATGGACGTGGAGACAATCCAATCAGGGAAAACAAGGTCGCGGTAATGATATTATCTGTCTTGTGTTACAGTTTTGATATCGAATATTGCGACAAGGTTTTATCGGGCAAATGGGTACATCTATGAATATAAAAAGTTGTTAAGATTTCTACTCGTTTAATATTAAAAATGGATTCGTAGATGTAATTGAAGCACGGTCTTTTATACCGGACGAAGTTCGTTCATGCGTTTTCGATCAGCACAGATAAAAAGAATAACAAACGTAGAAACTGAGCGAGCCTCGCGATTGTTTTCGTACATTACCATTGATATCCTAAAAGCGAGACACTTGTCTGGGTAATCAGCGATCTTGCTAATTGGGATCAGATATGCCGTGGGCAAAAATTATCATTGAAACAACACAAGTATGCATTAAACGCTTATCTCAGATCGTTAGGTAACTTTGTGGACGTTGCACTTAATATTGCTTTTGGACAAACGTTGCTGACAATAAATTTTTTTTTTAATGGAATGGAAGAATTAATTGCTAATTGATTCGTCAGCATTATGTATATTTTGCAATGAATATTCAATGACTGTAACAATACTTATTTTACAATATTATGAAGTATTTCGATTGCGTCAACTTCCCACGAAAGATCCATTATCATTATCGATACTAATCGTACTTGAACAAAGGACGAACAGTCCGACGTCTCTAAGCAAGGCATTTAAGATGAAGAGAATGAACATAATTTTCCCCAACAGCCTCTTCTCAGTAATTTGTCCAATTACTAGGTACGATAACGTGTTAAGTGTAAAGGCATTCGTTTACAAGCGAAATAGCTTTGCGCCCGTGGCAGGTGCATCGTCCAGTACCTGTCACATGGGTATTACTAAGCATTTTTTGGGTATTAGTTTGGGCATGAGGCCTTTTGGCTTGTTGGGACATTAT